CAATTGCACTTCTATTGGATTATTTTGTTTCTGGGTGGGTAGCCCTGAGTCCACTAACCGGTGTCAGTCTAGTTACATATTGCTTATATTCAGAATAAAACATGGTACGGCATGGTACCACACATGCACATAAATATACGTTGGGGTCAGGTCAGTGCATAGCATTACTGACACACATTTAGAGCACATGTTTGTTCTCCATACAAGCTACACATCAGCCCTTTGACAAGTGAAATGGGCGAATATAACATATGGGACAGTATCAAGGGTTCATGTGGAGGACAGGGAATTACAGGCTTCCTTCCTCTCACACACTCTCTCTCCCTCTCTATCAGATCACACACACACAGAGGAGGGATCCCTGGGCTGCTCACAAAAACTCTCCAAATCCCAACATGTAAAAGATAAAATTTAAAGTTATGATAACATTTCAGATGTTGAAGCGAGAGCCATCGAACAGCCGGGAATCAAGCTGAATGTGCCTTTAAAACTCACGGCACAGACGAGTAGAGAAATGAAAGTTGTATGTGTCTGATTAAAACTCGGGTTCATTTCCTTGGTTGAGAGGCATCGGTGTTGTCATCTGCAAACCCACTGATTTCAACACCGCAGAGAGAGAGAGTGACAGTGGGAAAACAAAGCAGCACAGCGCATAGTTACTGTGCTGCTTCGTTGTGAATACCTTATACTCCCTAATTGACTGGGTAAGGCCTGTGTTGAGCCCCGCCGAGCTTCGGCATCAGCAGATTCACACCTGTGACAGCGGCGCGAGAATGACGGGGCTCATTAAAAACTTGATTCGGATCCTCGGCAGGAACCCTGTTGAGTCGCTTTAAAGCAACGCGCTCATCGGAATGATAGGTGGCAAATACAGTAGCAGGGGAAAATTGGACTTGAAAAGGAATGTCTGTCTTTCTACTTTTTTTTAAAGTCTTCCTCTTATTAACCTGTTTTCCTTTGTAGTCTCAAACAAAATGGCTTCTATAGCTGTACACAGGGGCCTTTGAAGGTGAGCCTTGACTGGCATACACGGATGTCTTCTTGTAGGGCCTTAATTTGATGCTTGAGCACTGCTGAAACCCCCTTATGCGTTTGTTGCCTCCCTTTGAAAAGAGTAGACTTTCACTTGAGTTAAAGTAAACTGCATCAATTTTTCATGTACCCAACCTAAAGATAGGCGCTGCACTTTCCTACACCGGTGGCGCGCGATTCCCGCCGTGTTCTGTGCCACCGCTTCTCTGCAAGTGATGTCTGACCTTGTAACTCTGCCTATCAACGAGGGAAAGTGACTCTGGAATAGGGTCGAGGTGGTGCACGGTGGTGTGGTGTACAAGCAGTGGAAATGAATTCAGTGCAGCGTGTGACTCTTGAGTTGAGAAATGTTCTGGTAAATTATGACACAAAGCATAATTCATGTGATAAAAAGAGGGAAATATTGCATAGATGGAGCAGATTATTGGTTTGAAGGCGAATACCTTCAGGCTATGAATATCTGAAGTACCTAGTGCAAGAGATAATAAGCACCATCTTAATGGTTTATGAATCTCATTTGATTTATGGTTATTAACCATTGGAGAATTATAGTGGCACTGTATTGATGGACGGGGGTATTTCAGGATAGAGCTCATGTGATTGAAGTAGTTCAACCTGCCAGCTCACAGGCGCACATGGTAGGCAGCCATGTGCACACGGAATTCTACAATAACCTGACCTAAAAAAACTTCATGCTTTTAGTTCTATTCCTGACAACGTTTTCTCTGGTTAGGAAAAAAAAAATTCCCCAACTAACAAGTAGCTTCAAGCTAATCATCAGTTCTTCGATTTTTCCGTGTTAGTGATGCCAGAAGTAGAAGTAAAAGGGGAGGAGGGGGAGGAAAAAAGGAGAAGGTTTTATCCAGGGGACCGACACCATTCCCGTCCCGCAGACGCCTCCAAGCGAGCACATCCCCTTGTCGACCCCCCCCCCCCCCAAAAAAAAGAGAGCATCAATAAAAGAACTGTGGTGCAGATTGGAGAAGGCATGAGCAGATTTTCAATGGGATTTCAGGAGATGGCACAAGGGGCAGAAATCTTTTGCTTTTGTCTGCTGTTCAAATGGGTCTGATGAGCCTCAAGCTGCAGGCTTCGCTTGTCAAAGAGGTCCTGATCTCTTGTGAGAATTGATTTCCATCATTTGGGGGGAGCTGTACAGACTGGGGGTATATTCCTGCCTGGAAGAGCAAGATAAGGGCCAAATGAACTGAAACCAACTTACTGTACAAAATAAGCCGCAAACCCCTCCCCCCTCAAAAAAGTGAGAAAAAAGACAGAAGAAAATAACAATAAAAATATATGAAGTTGTCTTCCAGTTTTTTCTCAAATGTTGGATTACTTTTCACAGAGTAGGAAGCCCTGTCCTGTTGTGGCGTTTTCTCTCCGCCAAGCATTTCATCTGATTATGAGTACTTTGCAATCTGCGACAGCATGATTGATGCTCCACTTTCATGAGGGGAATTTTAACAGCACCTCTTCAGCGCTCAATGCGCACCCAATTATGCGTCTGAGCTGGTAACCTTGAATTTATGTCACCATGGCAACAAAACCCCCGGTCATGCATTATGGATTATCATTGAAATTCTACACCCCTACCTAACATAATGAGAGCCCAGGACTTAATCAAATCAGCCCATTCTGTGTGACACAAAGTGAAGAAGGAGCTCTCATTGTATTGGGGTTGAGGCTGGGAGAAGCCGGCCAGGCAGCCAGGCAGCCAGGCAGGCAAGCAGGCGGGCGGGCGGGTGGCAGGCTGGGCTGTGACGGCTCGAGCAGCTGCAGGGCTAGCAGCCTGATAGATGGCTCCCATATACATCAGTGAACATATAGACAGATGGTCCTCAATGCCTGGAATTTCCAACCCAGGAAGCAGCTGTTCAGCCTAACCTCTGCTGTCCGTCTCACCTTGTTGTCATGGAACATTGAGCAGGGAAGGAGAATGTGGATGGTGACATGGTGGGAGTGTGGTAGAGCACCACCAACCTCCAACAGTGGGACATGGGTAGGGGGACTGAGTGGAGGCTGAAACAGGGCTGGCTGAATTTATATTAGGTGGCACTTATTCAATCTGTCTCCCTCTCCCCAGACCCCTCCTCCTAATTTTTTTTTTTGGGTGACAGGTCTTACACATGAGAACATAAATAGAGGTAGCCCGGAATGATTCAGTCCTCTTTTCACTCCCTCTCTGTCTGTGTGTCTATCAGTTGGATGACATAATTGTTGTAAATCACTGCACCGGATTAATGCAATCTATTTTTCACCTCCTCCCTGGCTTCTCCCCCTGCACCACTGCAGGCGCAGCCGGAGCTGTTACATAAAATATTGATTGCTGTTGTCTATTTCTCTCATTGTATGTAAGCATTTTTTATTAGCTAACAGGCAAGCAGGGGACGCCAGTGGTGCCCCCTCCCTCTCATGTCTTCCCTCACTCTCTATAAGAACTTTTAATAGCTCAGCAGATTTTGTTCCCCCTCTCGTCCGTTTCCCTGCATCATCCCTGTAGAGTACTGGGGCGCCCTGAACATTTCAGCATGGGAATATTGGAGCTGGAATACAGGAAATACAAAAATAGGCTCTTCTCAACTAATGCTTGAGAAATTGTAGATGCAAAACTCGTTGTGATTTTAAAATAATAACTTTGTTTGTTGAAAGTGTGGTTTTAGTTCACTCACTATGTAGAAAATATATTTATTTATTTTTTTGACATCCAGTTGGGCAAAAATATCTAAAGCCCCATTTCTACTGGTTGAAAACCCACAAACATGTGTCTTTTGTCTGCAATGGGAATTGATTCAATCTGTATTCAGTCTCTGGTCAAATGACTCTGCAGTAGACACAGATTTTTATCGGCTTTTGCTCCAATCAGCAGTGATGGAAACAACACACCCTGGTGGACGCGATACTTCTTTCTTCTTATTTATTTAGGAAGTCAGGACAGTGACACTGTACCTCTCTGGCACAAGGTTATAATGTGCATTGAACTTCTGGGCATTGTCGCATAAATAGCGATGAAGGTTTGTTTTATTGTACATTTTTTTACATCTTGGACAAAACACGCAACATTTGTTTTTTTCGTTTTGTGCAAGATGTGACACAAGCAAGACAGCCGCATTGGTGTCCGCCGTGTTTGTGAGGTTGAACATGACTCAGGCAAACTCCTCTCCTGGCAACGGTTTACCCGTGGTTAAAATAACTGCATAGACCCACTCATTTTGATGTAAATGAGGTATAAACAATCAAATTCTGTCCAATGCTATAATGTTTTTTTCAAATGTAACTAATCATCAATATTTTTTTTTGCCTGACTAAATGCATCTTGAACGGCGTCTGCCAGGAACCCAGGAAACAACCCAGCTGCAAAACTACAAACATATGATTCACATTGACTCTGCAGGGATTTAATGTTTTGGCCACAACCTTATGTCACTGGGAGGAGCACTGTACTAAATGGCTAATTTGCATAACTTTTCATCGGCTCTTTTCCAAAGCAATCATGACAGTTTTTTTTTTTTGGGGATGCTCTCTCAATGGAATGTGAGGCTTGGATGTTTATTGAGTCTATAACAACCGCTTTTTTGGAAGCAAAACAAAGTCTGCTGCAGGCACTCAGGCATATCAAATTTATTCTGAGCACAGCAGTGAAAAGGGACAGTCTATCAGCATCAGAATACTAATATCTCATATTCCGTTGAAAAAACAAAAAAAATGAAACAAAGGAAAAAGTGTCTTAAAGTAAAAGGGAAAAGTTTATGTAAAGCAAATGGGAATTGAGTAATTCATCTACACCCCAGGTCCTCTGCAGCTGTCTAATACATCTGCATATTTCCAATAAACATAACAGCGTAATAAATGTTATTTTCTCTGAAGTAAGTGCATCACAAGTGGAGGTGTCATCTAAAATGTATTTGTGATGTGCTTGATGAAGCCCGCTCATCTCTCTGTAATGACACCCCAGCCTCTCTCATGTGTTATGCATCACATCTTGTTACCATCTTCCTCTGAGCATGGCTGTCATCATGCGTCTTCTCAGGCCCCTCCGGAAGCATTGCATCAGCTATAGGGATACATGGTGAGGGGAAGGAGGAGGAGCGGGGAGGGGGGAGGGGGAGCGGCCTTATTAGATGCCTCTTCAACTTCTCAAACTCCAGAAGGTGTCATTCTTATCTATATTTGCCCCCCCTCCCCGCCAGACTGATTCATTACCGAGCAGAAGGGAGGCAGTGGAATCAGTAGGTGTGAAAGCACTTTTGCATGAGTCTGTTCTCACGATACATTATTGATGCTGTACTTTTTTTATATCAGAACATGTGCATCATACACCTGCATAATATATATATATATATATATCAAGTTCATGGAGAGGATTATTGTTATGTTGTTTAACTATATTATATGAGAACATTTTGGCCTCTATTTGAACCTGCTGTGGAACGTGTAGGACGTACAAGTTTTTATTTCAGTGAAAACACAGATTTATTATTACCTCCACCAAGGAGGTTATGTTTTCCTCTGGGTGACTTTTCATAATGACACAAAACCTACTTAATGAGTTTCACGAGACCTGTTACAAGCATGTGGTATGGGTCAGGGAAGAACACATTTAATTTTGGTTTGGATTCAGATCAGCAGTGGATCAGGGATTTTTAACATTGTAAGATTTGGCACTGTGGGCATTTTCACCACTTTCAGAAGGAATAAAAGTCTTTTGCAGACAAACGCATCAGAGTTTAAGATTTCTGTGTGAGTGACAATATTTATGGGATCACAGTTCAAGAAACGGATACAAATAATATGGACTGGGTGAGCAAAGACCTGAATTCATGGATCTTGATGAAAAAATCAGGCACATTTAGGGGACTGATATATATGAGTGTGTACAATTTAGGATGGCTCGATTAACTTTGCTCTTTCAGGATTGTGGCAACAAAAAAAAATTAGACTGTCTATCTTGTACAACCTCAGGTCCACTTTATCGTGCTGTATTAAATCACAGCCTTATGCAAATCAGCTTGACCCAGGCTGTTCACTCTGGATCACGCAAGGAAAATAAATAATCACTTATATATTATGCTTCTTTAGGAGTGCATGCATAATTGAAAAAAGACATTAGCATGGACTGAGGGATAAACTCAGATCCTGCAGAACAGAGGATAATACAAAGACAGCCTGTTGTTGTTAATTCTTCATGGGCACCTTGTTATGTTGTGTATCAATGCATGTGCACCTCCAAGACATAAAAGCACATAATAAAGAGTACTGAAAAGTTTATTCATTAATCTCATTCATTAATCACCAAGAAGAAGACGGACTCTATATGTAAAGACTGCTACAAACTAATGACTTTGCCTCTCTTTGTAACCTTCCTCTGACAGCTATACTATTGGGTTACAAGGAGAGTCACTCTAGTGCGGTCCCCACTGCCTCATTTGCATGGAATTAATGATGCATGCATATGCAAATGAGCATTTTAAACAATGTTGATTACTGCCTATGTATTCATAGGCCAACAGTCACACATGTCTGACATGCCACTTCTGCATGTAATTTGCACCACAGTAAAGGGCAACTGGTACCATCTCTCACGTAGCTTCATCATGGCTGCAGGCAGCGATGATAAGTGTGTCGCGACTGATGTTCATTTATTGGGCTGGGTCTCTTTTCTGAGGTGAGACCATATTTCTGACGACAAGAATTAGCTGCGCTGTGCAAGAAAACGCACCATTTTTGCATTCATGCCAAGGCTGCACATGAAGATCAGCAAGAATTGACAAGTTCCACATGCATGCAACATGTGTTCTCCAGGTATAATGTTAATACTGTACAAGTGTTCTCTGTCTACTGCACACACACACACAAAATACCCATTTCAATCTGCAATGATTTTCTCTCCTTCAAGACAGGATGAGTCAGGATGGAGTCTCGTTTCAGACCCCAGATGTTCACAACCCTCTGAGCCTGTGGATACATCATAGCCAGCTTTCATCCAGCTCCTGAGGCCCACTGAGGCCTGTGGAAGGCATCCAGACCATCCCTCTCATTTGGTTAAAGGCTGTTCAGTGGTACAGGCCAACAGTACTGAGAGCCTCTGCCTGTCAATCCCTCCTTATACCCCCTCCTCACTCCCACCTAAAGGTTGACCCTGTGCTTAGACCCTTAAACTGGTGCATTTCTAATATCTACATGTCGTGCTATGACTTACCACTGCCCTACGGCAACAGTCAAGTGTGGCGAATATCTTTAAAAAGCCACGAGAGATGGAAGTAACCATGTTACTATAAAGTAAATTGTGAAGATGTGGGCAATTCTAGATTCTAGATTTTTAAAATTCTAAATACAATAGCCAAGGCTGAAAATGGGTAATTGTTCTGACATGTAAATCTTCTGTGGCGTTTATTATCAGAGGGAATTTGCACTTTTGTAGTCTTATTTCCCCTTTACAATCAGGGTCACAACCCCTGCTTTTACAAGGTTCCAGTTCAACACGTATTATACTTTACAGTGTCAATATTTACGATCCGGCTGTAACCTACATTCACATTATATCTGCGCTTTGTCACAATTTGCATTTATGGACTGAAACTAAATGGCCTATTTTACCTCTATATGTTCTCGTAAGGATAACTCTAACGCCATGAGTACTTTTATAAAGCAGTGGAGCGCAAGGATTAGCATGCAACCCATTTCTTATGGGCTGATAAGAAAACACTATCAAATCAATATACTAATGTATTTTTTTTTCTATTTTTGATTTCATTTCTGCAGCCTAATACAAAATTGTAATGAATGATCAGGGGATGTTTACCCCATTTGGATTTTCTAGAACTTGGTGTCTGCATTGATTAATGTGTGTCTAACCTATGTTTTCATTATGAGAGGAGGAGGTGTGTAAGTCCACTTGTACATTTGTCTGTGTGAGTCTGTTTGGAGGCGGGATGGGGGGTTATATTTTGGGCTGGTATGATTGAAACCCCCCCCATGCTTCCATGTGGAGGTAATGAACCTGAAGACAGGCAGCGGCTAGCCTGAAATTTCATGCATTGAGAGAGGTTCGGGGCATACATAAGGCTGGCTTGGTCATTTGTTATCGTTAATCTTTACATTTATGGCTGCAAATATGTTATTAGGAGGTGTGTCCTGAGTATTTCACTTTGATTGGGCAGTGCTCTATGACATATTGATCAGTCGAGCTGGGGCAGGGACAGGCAGGGGGCCAAAGTGACCGAGACCTTGACTTTGGACATCTGCAAGACATGATCATGAATGTCTGGCTCATATTCAGCAGCCCTGGTAATTTCCCTTTGTAGGGGGAATCAAGGGCACGTAAAGCCCATCGCATTAAGGTCGACCACTTGCTGCCTGGGTGAGTAAGTGACAGCATACACGGAAACCAAGATGGGGTCCGGCAATGACCAGCGGCCTCCTTTGGATTACATTCCAGGAAATCCTATCCATCTTCATTCAAGCATTTCACTGCTCAGTGAAATCGTATGGTAGGGTGGACCAGATTCAGATTGGTTCTATGTGGTGTGTGTGTGTATGTGTGTATGCATAAGACATACATAAGTCAATGTTACCCCAGACTCCTCCAGGCTGTCCTACGTTGGTAAGCTCTTAACATGCACGCTCACACCCCTTCACTAGCTGCTGAATTGAGACCTAATAAGTTGACATGATTCCCGTATTAATCATCCATGGAAATTTTTATAGGTGAGCGGCAATTTCGCAGGGCCCCGGGTCAAAGCCAGCCGCCCTTGCTTTATCCTGTTCGTGTCAGCTTCCATCCAGAAACGACAGGCCCTGGATCTCAATCAATTATACAGCAGTCTGAAGCTATAACAGCACTCGCTATTTACTAGCTCAAGCAGCAAATCCCATGATAAAACCAACAGCGACCTATCACATGCAGAAAGAAAAATGCGAGAGTTAGTTTATTAATGAACCACGTCCCACTCGCCTGTTTATGCGGTGGCATTATCTGCACCATATCTGTCTTTGTAAGTCAGAAAACAATATGCCATTAGTCATATGAAAATTCAGGAATGGAAAATTTCCAATTCATGAAAAAACGGTTCCATATACATACATATATACATGCACAAACAGATTTAGGGGCAGTGTTGTGGAACCCAATGATCAGTGTCTGATGAAGGTAACATTTCTCTCTGTCTGCACTTAGACTAATGCGAAGGGGAAAACCATTTGGCACACCACACTGGCTGACATTTGTGGAGATTTAGTGATTTGTGGAGAAAAGACAATTACAATAGAACGTGTGTGAATCAGCATTACTCTACAAGGTGATGTCATGCTTGTAGTCACTAAGCTGCTTCTCAGCTCACCCACAAAATGTGCTCGGCAATAGTGGGATGTATTTAATCCCAGTGCTGAAATGCCTCGTAATGTAGATACATCAGCTCTTTAAGTCTGTTCTCCTTGTTTCAGACCTCAGACGAGAGCTAATCCCTGTGGTCATAGTGATGATTCATGTTTGCTCATACATCTTGAGCTATTTATACCCACGTGCAAGGAATTGGGATACATTTGGATAAGATGAAAGCAAATATATGAAAGGCACATGGAGAGTGAGAGATTGGCCACTTTATCACCATATTGCATATTCACGTATTGCTTTAGATACGTTTCCCATCATACAGAAATGTTCTGCCACTTGTTTACATTAAACACAGGCAAAACATCTATTCTTGGATAAATTTGTAATCAATATTTGTTTTACCATATAGTAACTGAATAAAACTCACACCCCTTCAAC